ATTGTGGCCAATTTCTCGACATATACCACAATGATTACCTCGCTTGGGCCTTGAGGTAATCCCCGGTACTCTTCCTTTACCACGTACTCGAACTGGGTCTCTTACTTGATCTCCAGTTGCATTGTCAACATTTTCCATCGCACTAGAGTGTTGTTTTGATCGGAGTCTACTACATTCGTTATAAACTTTTTCAAGCATCTCAGTAAAGTCTTCCTCCGTTTTGCAAGCAAGATTACATAACACCCTACAACCATCACTCAAAGCTCCATATCTACTACTTTCAACTGATTCTTTACTTAGGTCACATTGCTGAAAATTGAGACGTTGAATATCCTTTGCTTTCTTTGTCCATCTATCAAGAACCAAACAAGATGGCAATTGTGACATGTCCAAAATTAGTAAGACAAAAACACTATGACTACATGGCATCCCAAAAGATTCCATTCTTTTACACGAGCATTTAATGTCCACGATACTGCCATTGTCATAATGTGATACATGCCATTTCTTGTTCGGACTGTAATGCTTCCCAATCTTGTATATTACATGAGTCGATGTTTGTTGGGTAGAAATAATCCTTAATTTTGCTGCTTCCAATAAAACTGCACGAAATTCTTTGAAAACAACTCTAGTATATATCGAAGCAGCATGACCCTCTAAATTATGATAAGGAGTTTGTAACAACTCATCACCATATGAAGATTTAAAATCTTCCATCACCTCATTGTTCCTCATGTGACTTAGACATCGTTGAAAGTGATGTAGAAATTCAGTAACGTTATACCCAGATTCTATATACCTTCCCATTTGTGAGTGTAATCCCTCACAACGTGATGTAGTATGCAAACCAGCATAGAACTTTCCCCGAATGTAAGACCTCGCCCACATACTTCTGCAATCAAAAATCTGAGCGGCCCATGCATTGTTATGAAGTCCATGCTTAGCAATAAGTTCTTCCCACATCATATTAAAATCATCAATATCAACATCAGCATACATAACTTTTTGGAAATCCTTATGAAAGTTATTTTTCTTTATATTTTTCCCAGCATTGTTACATATATGCCAAGCACATAGTCTATGGTGTGCTTCGGGAAAAACTCTTTTGATTGCATTCTTCATCGACAAGTCACCATCAGTGATAACACACTTGGGTTGTTTCCCAATCATTGCCTCCAAAAATTTCTCCAAAAGCCAAATGTATGTTTCCTCTGTCTCATTTGACACAACAGCGGCGCCAAACACAGTCGTTTGCTTGTGATGATTCACACCAGAAAAAATTACAACTGGGAACTTGTATTTGTTTCGACCATAAGTTGCATCAAAAGCAAGAACATCTCCAAAAATTGAGTAGTCGAAAATGCTGCATCCATCAGCCCAAAATAATTGTTGTAACTTACCTTCTTCATCTACAGTATGTCTCCAATACATTGCACAATCTGATTTTGATTGGTCCTTTAAGTATTGTAATGTTGATTCTGCGTCACCATTTCCTATTAGTCTTTGCTTCTGAATTTGATTATACATGTCCTTCTTGGAGAACCCAATATACTGATATCCACCACTTTGACCGGCAAACGAACCAAATATTTTTCCTGTCCCAATCCCCACTTCTCTCATTGTGTTCATCTGAGCCACGTCTGTCTCTGTCATTCTTCTGTTAGAGGCTATCATTGCACCGTAATGTTCACCCACCAATTCATGATTATGTTCATCAACAAAATAACTAACATACCAATCTCCTTTTTCATTGTCAATGTGGATTTTCATTCTTGCTAAACAACCACATCTAGTCTCTTTTCTCGGCGCCCTCTTCCGAACCAATTCATTTTTTTTATCTCTAAATCCTTCCCTATCACAAAAAAATGATTGCCATATAATTTCACCATCCTTGTTTCGCCGAGTATGATATTTTCTAATGCCAAATCCTTTCTTCATACCATACATCTTATAAAATTTGTAAGCGATATCATTGTTTAAAAACCTATATTTCTTCACATCATCTTCATTTAATAATTGAAAATTTATCTCTTCAAAATTTAACTCCTCTACTTCATTCACATTTTCATCTTCACTACCATTAAATTCATCTAAACCCTAAAATCATAATAAACAAAAACATAAAATCAATATCAAAAATAATAATGAACATTAGTAATAAATAAGAAGCATATACAAAATTTCATACCTCTGCCTGACAGTGAGTTTCATTATTCGTGTTCATTTCTTCTTCCATCTAACAAAACAAAATGCAGAACCTATAAATTTAACATCACTAATATATAAAATTAAATAAATAAAAATAAAATTTTTAAATTCAAACTCACCTCAAAAATCTGTTTCTGGAAAAAAATTACAAAGTTTACACTGTGTCTCTGTAAAAAATTATCGCAATGAACCACTACTGTAAAAAGTTTATTTATAATACATGTCCTATTGGAAGTTATAGTGCAACACACCGACTTCTATAAGGCACTAAACCAAATAAACTTTATTTACTTAACAAGTTTTACAGAACCACACCGACTTCTACAAGGAAGTGGTATGGTAAGTGGTTTTCACACAGAAGTCGGTTTACAGGTCCTTCAGAAGTCGGTATTCCATGTACCAACTTCTTCTTTTTATGAAGTTGTCACCAGCCAGACCGACTTCTGTATGCAGTGTGGGGAGTCCTTCACAGAAGTCGGTATTCCCTGTACCAACTTCTTCTCTCACTGAAGTTGTCACCAGCCAGACCGACTTCTGTATCAGTGTGGGGAGTCCTTCACAGAAGTCGGTATTCCCTGTACCAACTTCTTCTCTTACTGAAGTTGTCACCTGCCAAACCGACTTCTGTATGTAGTGTGGGGAGTCCTTCACAGAAGTCGGTATTTTATGTACCAACTTCTTGTCTTACCGAAATATTCACCTGCCAGACCGACTTCTGAACTTTTTCAACTTCCCGGTTGCCGGTAAAAGACATTTTAAATCCAACGGTTATCATTCAGTTCGCATCCATACGAACCAACTTAAGGTTCGTATGATAGATTTGGCCATCAAATATAGGAGTAAAATAATAACACAAATAATACTTACGAATAATCATGTCCCTTTTAAAATAACCAAAAAATTGTAGTGTTTACAATAGTATAGGTTCATAATTGAAAAGAATAGAAAAGTAAGAGTTAACACATTACTTAAAACTTAAATTATTAGCCATTCAATACCCAATTTCAAACTTTGTTAAATACCCAAAAGGAGAGTTCTACCATCCATAAATTTAAACTTCAAATTTTAAATCAATTATGGGTATCTTTATTTTCTCTTTTAATCTATATTTTTAAATCTTAACTAATTAAATGCATGTAGATATTTTTATTTATCGTATATTTTTATAAACTTAAAATATGTACACAATATACCAACCAAACATGTATGTAAATTGATGGAAGTTGTTTTAACTTAACCAAATATTTCAAATTTGAGTGCTTAAAAATATAACTATATATGTTAAATATTTGGTAGGAAAGACATTATGAGTAATAGTAGTGCTACTCAATTCAAGTTGGATTTTCATTGTGAAGAATGTGATTGTCCAAAAAAAATAACTATGCAATATTGTAGAATACTTGCATGGGAGTAATAATAGAATCGCATTGGTGGATGGTCGTGTAAACAAATTTAATTAAATTAATGGGTGAAATGTAAAACATTTTAGAAATTTTTACTATCCCAGGCAATGTTATCACATAGTTGAATTCCATTAGTGGACGATCCCTATAAACATAGTAATATATTCCATTAGTGGACGATCCATGTAAGCATAGTAAATTCCATTAGTGGGTGTAGCGCTAATCTTCTTCAATAATTATAAAACTATTATTCAAAATTTACCCATTCAACCATTAGAAAGAACACAAGATTTCCAAATTCCAAGGATCGAGTATCAATTATTGGTCTGCTTATTTACCCTTTCATTATCTTTCTTTCCATACCCAATAATTGGTGCAACACATGAGCAAACAGTAAATTTGTTGCCCCCTATCAACAAAACTAGTCCTAGCTCATTATCATATCTATATATTGTTAGTGCAAATGTTTATAGACAATGTTATTCATTTTTATTTTTTTGAATAATCAATAATAATTAAATATGAATAGTGGATGATTTAATGATATTGTATAAAATTAGTGTATATATTTTTCTCCTATATCAAATGGCATCTCTACCAAAATTTACCTACTAAGCATATATTAAATGAAACTTTACAAGCGTTGTATGCACATGCATCACTGTCCTTTCATACAAAACTTAAGGTTTCAGATCAGTAGTTCAGAAAGACTGTCTGATAAGGTTCCATAGATTTGTAGGCCAAACCATGCAATATTTTTGCATGATCATTGATATAGCCTAATCTACTGTCGTGTAGTGATAAGTCCAAAAAAGTCGATACACAAAGATCAAATTTCTCGTAACTTTGAAGAAAGATTAAAAAACACGAGTAAAAATGCCAAAATTGTACGTTTATCTTCCTCAAAAGATTATGTCCTGCGCTTCTGTTATTATGTCTCAAACTGGTATTGCTTATTGATGATTAGTTTTAAGTGATATATATATATATATAATTTTAAACAACCTGAATATTGAATTACTTAATTAACACAATAATGGGTGACAAGATCGAGGTCTTAATTAACACAATTATGGGGTGGTCCAAGACCACTCACATTAGGATAAAAGTAATGTTATATTTTATCAGCACATTTATATGTTTAGACGAGGGACTAATCTAATTGAGATATCATAATTGGTGCACCAAATTAATATAATTGAAGAGGATTGAATTTTGCATTTTTGTCATACAATATCGTGATGTTTAGCTTTGGAGTCCAACTCATTGACAATAGAAATAAGGTCCTTAGACAAGGAGTAACCTGCCCTTTCTTTCTCTCCTGATCAGAACCTATACTGCTTAATCACATCAAACACATTCTTCCAATTCCCTATGTTGCACAAACCCTTATCATAGATGAACTTCCATAAAATATATCAAACTAATAAGACGTTGTTAAACATCAAGCGCCTGTAGCTCAGTGGATAGAGCGTCTGTTTCCTAAGCAGAAGGTCGAAGGTTCGACCCCTTCCTGGCGCGATTTTTGCATCCCCTTTTGTTTAATGTTTGTGATGCATACTTTTAATTTGTTTATCCAATTACAAATTCTATGAAGTGGACGCCACAACCCATGTATTCCTACCTTCACCTACCCTATTAGACTCCTCAAAATATATCAATATTTATACTTTTAAACACAATTGTTTCGGAAACATTGATACACCATGTTAGAATATCATTTCCCATGTTTATTTTGAAGCAACCATAGAGATTAACCGTAAGTTAGACAAAGATGTAGCGGAAGAAAATTAACTGAGCTCCACATAGCTATCGAATCAATTTGAATTTTTAACAAGCACACATACATTAATTGTATGCACCCCAAAATTATAGATTGCATTCTAGAGCAACTTTTTATTAATTTCTGCTACAAACATAACTTCACAAACTAAGGCCATGACATCACCTCTGCTCTTCATTGTCTCTTAGGTTTCCAAATTCAATCTCTCTAGCACTTTGGAAGATCATTGGGAGGTGGAATCTGTGACTCATTGGGTCCTATTCCATTGTCTACCACGAATGCTGTCTTTAGTCCCCATGTTGTGTGTACTTCTAAGTGGCAATGCAGGAACCAAACACCTTCACAGTTCACACATCATTATCAACAAATATTAAGAAACAAGGTTATTAGTCCTTAGACAAGGAGGTACATAAAAAATATTGAATTTAATTAGAATGGATTATAATTGTTAACTTTTGTAACGAGTATCTGAAGAATCATAAATGGGTTGATGCATGATTTGATTGTAGTGTACCTGGGTTGTCTGCCCTGAATCTAATTGCTGCCCATCCTCCATTTGGTACCCCTATTGTGTTTCTCTCAACTGGGTCAACAAGATTAAAGCTTAAAGGATCCTTCTTTGGATCAAAATTCCCTAACCCTTGCCCAACAACATAGAAGTTGAATCCATGCAAATGAAAGGGGTGATTTTCTGGTGCTATCATTGCAGTGCCTTGGAGAACAATTTGAACAGTTGAATTGAAATTCAACCTGTATAACTTTGTGCCGTTATTGGTTTGAATATTAGCTGGTTGAGTACCAGTATAATTAAAAACAATGGGAGGAGTTGCAGGGAAATCATCAGTGAAAACACCTTTGATGTTGTAGTAATGTGCTTCAAGAAGTGATGTTTTGGTTGGTAACACAAAGGTGATATTATTAATAGCTGACACAAGCTTGTTCCCAAAGACACATGTATCACATGGGTTAAGCCCAACAGTTATGGCAAATAATAGAGAGTGGTCTATGGTTAAGGGAACTCTTGCAGGGTAGTCATTTGAATTAAGGCTTCTAAGAGAATCAATGAAAGCTCTTGTTATTGGAGTTGCATTAAGAGGAGGAATGCTTGTTAGGATTGTTTTATGATATTGAGGAGTGCCTTTGTAATGAAGTGTAGCAAACGCAGTCAAGTTGTCAAAGCCAATAGGAGCATCCATGAACGGAGTAACTGCTATTCGGTACTTTCCAACACCTTGGTTTGCAGTTAAAAGGGCATTGGTGGTTTGACCTGGACTCAAAAATATTGTGTCAGTTTCAAAAGGCTTAACATATGATGCATCTGCTTCAACCACAGTCAGTTTATGGCCTGCAATTTTGAAGAATAGCTCATCGTTCAATGCTGCATTCACAATACGCAGTAGATAGGTCTTGCCACTTTTAACATGCAGAGTATAGCCTGCACCAGTTGATAAAACTGTACATTTTAGAATAGATGGTATAAAATGGTAGCATCTGAAAACAAAAAATCTGTACCACTAGTGTTAAGTGCTAAAATATCATATGCATGGTATTGCACTCGCGGTTGTGGTTAATAGTAGCGATGAAAATGTCTTATCGATAGTAGGCTAGAAAAAACTAGTGAGTTTAAAAGAAACACAATTATAAATGTACCCTTAGAAATGCAACCAGAAACTGGTCCCGGATGACCATTGATGGTATGGGCATCAGATATGTTTGGTGCCAGACCAAATTTTGCAGCTTGATTGACCATGGCTTCAACATCTGTTTTCCACCACTCACCTGAACACATACAAATCAATGATACTATAAAGGGATAAAGTGCACACATGCCAAGTAGACATAGTTGAATCAATGACAGAACACTTACCTATAATGATAATCTTCTCTTTGTGAGGTTTGGGAAAAGGATAAGAAACACCTTTCTTAGGCAAAATGACAATGGCACCATATACTGTGGCCCTTAGCCAAGTAATATGTGCATGCCAGAGAAGCGTGCCTCTTTGGCCTGTGATGCTGAAGTTGTATACATAGCCATGCCCTGGTTGGATAGGACATTGTGTGACATATGCTGGACCATCAGACCAACCTGTACGAATCTGTTTGATTCCATGCCTGTCATAAATCAAAAAATGTTATCCATGGTCAAAATTTTCACTCTAGTTCCACTCAGTTCCTAGTAATTTGTTGAGGGGTATAAGTTCTCACCAATGAATTGTAATATTGTGTTTAACGTGGTTGGTGACCCTTACAATTACAGTATCTCCCTCCCTTGCATGGAGAGTTGGCCCTGGGCACTTTTCATTGATTGTGACGATTGATTTTGTTGAGCAAAGCTTAGTTGTTTTTTTCAAGACCACCTGCAAATATTGACTTGTATTTTCGTTTATTTTGGTTTAGACAAGGTATTAGGATTCCTAGATAGCAATGTGTCTCCACTCATATTTAACTTTTGTTTCCCCTCCCTTTTGTTAATAATACAATCAAATGCATAGCAAATTGTTTTTCTTAATTATTGTTATGGTGTCACTTTTTATGAAACTGCAAAGTTGAGTACAGAAATTACACTTACACCAAACTTGTAATGACGCACCAAGGATAGAACACATGGCGGAAATGTAAGAGCCACCAGAAATATTGTTAGTGCAACTAGTCGTGTCTCCATTTTTTCAGCAATCAATTTTTTTTGTCTCTTCAATTCTTCTATGACCCTTTTTATCAATCTTCTGTTTTTGAATGCTGTGGTACTAATAACGTAGAGTATGACTAAGCACTTTGATATTATATAATGGTGCAATATTTGATGCTATGTCGTTTTACAAAAGGTAGGTGAGAATAATGCCAACCATGTCTTTTAACTTTTACCAAGATTTCTTGCATGCTACACAAGGTAGTCCTCTTTGATGGATGATATAAATCATTTCTGCTATTTTCAGCTGACAGAAACCCTTTGTGAGTTGAAAAATACTGCTTAGCTGCAAATACTTATTTTCCTCATTACAAAGAACATGTTTCTTAATTTTATTATTGCCCATCCTTTTCCTTTGTCTTTTTATATTATAATTTTGCAGCTTTACTCCTATCTCCAGAAGATATACAATACTAGATTGTGGCATGACTCCATGACCATGAAATTTTATGGTTCAGCTATTGTTTTCACTTTTCAGGTCATTACACCTCATTGCCTTGATTGAATGTTTAAAATACATATGGACACTCTTGTAACATCTCAACCCACTAAAAGATTCAAATGGCACATCTTTTCAATGTGATTTTTATGATTCTTTTGTCAAAAGATGCTGCTTTTATACTTCATTCAAACCACCTGATCAGGCCAACATGATAACTCACATTTTTAGTGTTGTAAAATGAAGTTTAATCCTTCACATCTATCTCTCCAACAATTAGTTGGTACTGAATAGTTTCACTTATTACCACTGCTATTCTCCATATATAGTTAACCAAATTTAGCAAGATGTACACTGTTAAGGACTTTATAACTGTTTTCTTGTAGGGGAATGATGGCCAAAATGTCAATGTTAAAACATGCACAATGCACATTAACAGAATCGGAGACCAATATCTTTGTATATAATTTGTTACATATATTATAGCATTTATTAGAACATGGGAGTGAGCTTCTCCATGTTTTGGATGGGGAGTGACTTTCCTCTTCTTTATTAATGTATAAGTGGAAAATATTGCAAAGTTTTATTCAAGATTTTAACCCAAAACGTTAAAACTTTAGGATATGACTGAGTTTATGGTTCAACATATCTGAAATTTTATTTTCCAACAACAATAATGCATGGACAATTGATCAACACTGTAGAAACGACACAAGACATACTCCAATACTTTTAAAAACATTTTTTTGTATAAACGTGATAATTATCTAATTATATGACCTCCAAGAACAAAATTACCCAACAAATCCAACATGGTATTTGAAAGTTGAAACCTCCCAAAGGGTACCTTTTCATTTCATGAATATTTCTGATAGTGGAGGAAGATAATGACATGTGACTTAAAACAAAATTTAACGATCCAAATTTTAAATCAAATAATTTTATAAGTTATGGCAATTAAATTATATTTCAGTATTAGATCTCAGCCCATTTTTCTGGCACTTTAATTTTGGCTTGCAAAAGCTTACCTCCTTTGTTGACAAGAGTTTACCTTTCCTGAACTCCATCGTTTAACAGTAGAATTCATCACCATAATTTTTATTTCATGATATAAATGTCAAGTGATTATTATGTCAAAGAATATGTGTTCATCAGAAGTTCATGTGTTCAGGAAAACCGAATAATCTGATTTAAATGCTCATCACCAAGTTTATGTGTACATTTTTTTTAGTGCTTTCAATAATCTGATATTAACTTCTGTTAATAAATTAGAAGGCCAATTATTGGGAGAATTACAAACAATGAACGTCTAAGAACCTAATTAATAAGTATGACGCCAATATTAGTTGCACAGAAAATACAAAAAAATATATTCTAATTCTCCACTATCCTATATATGCATACCATGATTTTTATTATGAATACAATCTATCCCTCACAACAAATGGTGACAAATTTAAATTATTTTTAATTTTTTCATAATAGATAGTGTGTATTTTTTTATAATTTGGAGATGAATTTACCCAAATGACCTTGAAAAGAATATTGAAAATAGGGCTGAACACCAAAAACATGAGGAAGTAACTGCGTGAAACACAAACTAAGTTTCCACAGC